CCTGTTTTAGTTAAAAACCCCCCCCCCTTGTCCTGTCACAGCCGGCCCTGCTAACGAGTTTGTCCCCCCCTTTCCTCTGGGCCCCCTTTAAGCACTGAACGGCTGCAATCAGGTCCCCCCGCAGTCTCCTCTTCTCCACACTGAGCAACCCCAGCTCTCTCAGCCTGGCCTCATAGCAGAGGGGCTCCAGCTCTCAGATAATTTTTGTAGCCCTCTTCTGGCCTCGCTCCAACAGGTCCACGTCCTTGTGCTGAGGGCTCCAGAGCTGGATGCAGGGCTCCAAGGGGGTCTCAGCAGAGCAGAGCAGAGGCAGAATCCCCTCCCTTGACATTGGCAACACTGCAGGGGATGCAGCCCAGGGTAGGGTTGGGCCTTCTGGGCTGCCAGCACACATGGCCAGCTCATGTCCAGGCTTTCGTCCATCAGTGCCCCCAAGTCCCTCTGGGCAGGGCTGCTCTCCATCCCTTCATCCCCCAGCTTGTATGGATACCAGGGGTTACCCTGACCCAGGGGCAGGACCTTGCACTTGGCCTTGTTGAACCTCATGAGGTTCCAATGACCCCAACTCTCCACCTTGGCCAGGTCCCTCTGGATGCCATCCCGTCCTGCTGGCGTGTCAGACGTACCACTCAGCTTGGAGTCATCTGCAAACTGGCTGAGGGTGTGCTCAATCTCACTGTCTGTGTCACTGATGAAGATATTAAACAGCACTGGTCCCAGTACGGACCCCTGAGGGACATCACTTGTCACTGGCCTCCATCTGGACATCAAGGTGTTGACCACTGCCCTCCGGATGCGACCATCCAACCAATTCCTCATCCACTGAACAGTCCAGCCATCAAATCCATAGCTCCCCATTTTAGAGAGAAAGATGTTGTGGGGGGCTGTGTCAAGGGCTTTGCAGAAGTCCAGATAGATAAAGTCCATTGGCTTTCCCTTGTAACTGTTGTTGTCACACCATCATAGAAAGCCACAAGGGTTTTCAGGATGCTTCCTTGCCTCTTCTCTCGTGGTAGCCTAAAGATGAATCTTCCTTTTGCATGCCAGTTCCACACTAAGTACTTCAGATTAATGAAATATAAACATGCTTGAAGACCATATACAAAGGGTCAGAACATGCACGGCTCTGACCGCGTGACGTGCGCCCCCCAGAAATGCAGAGCTATCCAGCGCAGCAGCCCTAGGCAAGCTGGCCAGAGCAGGGCATCCGCAGAAGCAACGCCCTCCGAATTTACAGTCCTGCTGTAAAATCCTCAGCTATTAACAGTTAGCTCGAGAATCCAAGGCCAAGGACACAGCCTGGTGCTCTTAGTCTGTGACAGCCGCAGGGGTCGTTGAAGTTGTTTCACAGGAAGCTGAGCCCTAAATTATTCTGGAATATCAAAACAAAGATCAAACACCCTGTCACTCTCTCCCGGGATGAAACACGATTCACTGGAGCAAACAATGACCCTTAAAGCACTACCTAACAACAAGTAGCTTCATACTACACTAACATAATAATTAGGGAACAGCGGGTTTGGTGAGAGCTGCCGAAAAAGCAAGATCCCGGAGGTAAGAGTTTGGCAGCTCCAGGAACGCCCATAAGGAAATGCACTGTACCAACACACTGCAAGCCTACAATACTTAATGACCGTATTTTACGTAGGTTTGTCAATGTGTTCTCTTTCAACCACATCTGCACTTCTTCATATTTAAAACACATCACCACAAATTCACATTGCCAGGGTTGATTATGATAAAGAATTGTAACAAAAAAAGTGTATTTTAGCATTTTTTATTATAGCCTTGGCTAATGGCAGTACATAAACTGGAATATAACAGATTCTTGTACCAAGGGCAAGTCATTTTTGCTACCAACTATAAAGCTCTGCAAATTCAGAAGTATCTTGACTCCTCAAATAAAAAAACATAACAATGCTGTAACAGAAGAAGAATCGGGGCCAGTTCAGCAAGCCACCAAACATCGTCTGACTTTTGTCTCCCCATCTTGCTTCTACCCAAGTCTTTCTCCTACCAGTAGCTGAGTTTGTCTGCAACTGACTCCGAGAAGGGCAGCCTCACTTTCCATGTCTTGCCATGAAACCATTAATTGCAAGACCTCGATGGGAATGGTGAAGGGGAAAGGACTTGGGAAGAAACAGCATCAGCTGTCTTTAAGTATTTCAGGTAAGATGGCAAGTGCCATAAACTTGCTTCTTCCTGTTAAAAACCAAAACAAACCACATAGGAAAATATTTCTCCTGCTAGAATTTGTAGATCAAAAAATATTATTTGCCTAAGAATCAGACAGAATACTTTATCCCGATCAAATACTTTAATAGATACATGGTATTTCAAAGAATAAGACACTGCCTATGATAATTTCACAGGTCGTGACCGAATGGCACTACACGCATGGACAACCTGCTTTTCTTCCCGTGTTAGAAAATACAAGAAAAACCTATCAAACCAAGGTATGCGGAGATCGCTACTTGTGCAGCCAGCCCCCCTGTGCAGGCATTTTAGACTTCACAGTTTTTCTTCAAGCACGGGTTCACAGCACTGCTGCAGCCTACCATGTCCTGCCAAGCCTATGGGTGAACACACCAGCATCCCAGAGTCGCCCTCCTCGGCAAAGCATGCAGCGTTGGAAGCATGCCATGCTCAGAACACCTCACAGAGAGATACCAGACAAATGGCTTAAAAGTGGACAAATGCTGCATTATCAGGGGAAAAAAATAAAATCCAGATGTGGGGCAACTGAAGAACAGCACAGGACTTCACAAAGTATTCAACGACCGAGGTTCACAGTAAGTTCTTTCGGTAAATTGATGACAACTGATTCACAAAAATAGATCCAAAGATAGAGAGCTAAGCAAGGCGGCACACTTTCTGACAATCCTGCCACCTCACTTTGTTCCCACACGTTCTTTCGGAAAAGCAAGAACTCAGAAGTGCGTGCTTTCCCATCGAAGTTTGATATGTAAATATTGACAAAAATGGGACTGAACACTTCTGTGCAGTTCCAACACCCAAAAAGGTTCTCGTTTTCACTTTTGTCAAGGTTAGGGAAGGTCACATGAGTTCTGTAGAACTCTGACAGTCATTGCTTTTGAGGAGGAAACCAGAGACCTCGCAAAGGCTACGATGCAGGACTTGACTGCACATTTTTAGAAAGCTTCAAATACAAAAAAACTCATCAACAGTAGTTTTAGGCAGGTAAAAATGCCAGTTGCTTAGCATGTTTATATTTAATCTAGCCACTTGAGTACCACTGGAATTACACATTAGCTGTAGAAATCCTATCAATTTTTTCAAAGAAACATTAAAAAAACATAATTATAAAAGTCACAGCTGCACCTGAGCTCAAAGAAGAGAGGAAAGTTGCAGTTCAATGTATTTATTAGCTGTTCAGATGACAAGGTTTTGCACCAGATCAGATCAGGAAGTCTGATTGCTGGCTTCATCAGAAGCAGCAGAAAAACCAACCCCAGTGTATTTCTGCTTCCCCTGCCAGCTACCACCGAGGCAGCAGCACACTGTAGCTGTCTCTACGGACTGCAGACACAGTACCAGGCAGGATGTGTAGTAGAAGCCAAGCTAAACCACACCAGTCTCCTTTACTATCAGTGTTAAGAAAAGTGACCTCGGCCTAAAAACCAAAGGCGTCACTTATCAGAGCCACTTCTGAAGCAGAACTGCCAACTCCATCCCGGAGCAGGGCCTTAAGATACAGTTTGCATTGATCCTGCCAGGCACAGGTCCCTTAAAAAAAAAAAAGTGTGCTAGTATGTATTTTATACTACAAGTAACAGTTTGCAATGCCCTAAAAATTGCATGAAAATACTCACTAGGAATTCTAGAATTCTGTACGCATTTGGATATATGAAACACCCGTGCATAGAAAATTGCTCTTTGAGGTTTACCTCGTTTAACGGTATCAGCATTATTCAAGTTTATTTGGCTACAGTAATGCCAGAAAATAGTAGGATTGATTTGTGCTAACCGACAAGCTCTTAAGAACTTTCTGCAATACAGTAAGAGATTTCAGGCAGACAATAAAGAACGTACGGCCCTCGAGGTTCAATCTGAGGGAAGTAACACCCGTCATATAAAATACAGTGAGCCTCTTAAAGAGGCATTTCCTCTTATTTCTCTTGTTAAGACACATGGCATGCTTTAATTTTGATACTTGCAGAGGCCAAGGAAATCACCTGTGCTGAGCAGAGACAGAAAAAGGGCTGATGGTCTCACAGACACACACACCTGTAAACACCGTGAAACCCGGGCAATTAACCTTGCAGGGCCCCCTAGTGAGGTGGCTGTTAGATGCCACTGAACAAGGTATCGCCGACAGCTGTTTATTTCTAAGTGTAAAACGAAGTTAAAAGCAGGGAGCTCATAAGCCACATTAAAAAGAATAATTACCTAACGCCCTATCAGGCTAGAAAAGTTTCAATGTCTATTTTGTATCCCTAATACAATGGGAAATTGAAAACAAGCTCAACGTAAGAATTACTAAAGAACAACAAAGTCAAATGTGTATAACATATAAAATACCGACTGACTACATGTTATGAAGTATGTATCACAAGAGTTACCACAATGCATTTCCACATTAAAACTCCAAAGCAAACTCCAAGTCACATGCCAATCAAAAGGCGTCCTTTCCGGTAGAGCACCGCCGCAATCCAACTCCAGAAGGTCTCCTTTAAGTCAGGGTAATCTAAAAACACGACAGGAAAATACAATTTAAGATCAGCTATCTTCTGACAGTTAGAAACCTGAAGAAACTGCAAACATTTTAAAAGTCACAGCAAGACATTTACTTCAACATGAGTTTGCGAATCACCCGATCACACAATTTCAAAGACTGCTTCCACAATTACTGCCAGCATGTATTGTATTGACTTCCTGGAAAATTTGAATATATGCATATATACACCACCACCCCAACACCAGGCTAATATTTAGTTTGGTTCCAAGCCATTTCACATAACAAACAGTAGTTACACCTCAGAAATTAAAACTAAGATTGAAACCTATGCAACCCCATCTTGTAAATATTTTTCCAAACCTTCTTAATACCAACCACAGTAACAAGCAGTTAAAAGAAACCCCTCAAAGTGGCTGTTTGAACACCTTACCGAAGGCTTTACACGTGGTGCCCATGAACCGCACTGCCATCTCCTTCGCCGCTTTGCATCTGCATCTGCATCTGTGCCTGCATTCTCGCAATCATCTCCTGCATGCGACGAAGCTGGACAAGTAGCACAGAAGAACCCTTTAGCCCAATCTCACCTCGGAGCATGACTCTGCTACCACCGCACTATTAATTATTCATATCAAAGAGGTAACAGATATCTGCATTGTCTTTATCTGACGGGTAACAATCTCAGGCTATGGCATCTTCATCCATTAAGAGACTGGTAATGTGCTGACTGAAATAAGCAGGCTTTGTTACTGTAATTTGGGACGACATTTTAAGCATCCCTAAATGGAAGTCTTTGCTTCCTCTGAAGTTAAACTCATAAAAACAATGGAGCTGAAGTGCTGACCAAACACTTAGAGTTACTAAAGCTTATCGCCAGGAGCCAAGCAGCTTGTTTACGTCCCTCCAAAGTACACCTCTATCTGTCATTACAAACAAAATTGTCAAGATTATTTCCCAACTCCCTCGCTAGTGATGTCTAGGTGGAAGTAGTGTTACAGGCAAATCAACCAAGGAGACATAAGCATTATTAAAAACATATGAAGCTCAATTTCAGAGCACTGCAATGTTTAAACACAGGGTAATGATGTAACTCAGCTACTAAGGTTAATTCGGCCATGTTGCGTGTGCAATACTTAGATTCTTTAATTGTACCCAACTCTGAGAGGCGGGAAGCCAGCCTCACTCCTGAAAAACACTTGGGTGTCTTTGCCTTTGCCCACCTACACTTTAAACTCAAACTAAACTGTTAAGGTTAACAATGAGAAGTTAAACTCCTGAAATATTTACATTGTTCTTTGAAACAATGACCCTTTCCGTTTTCACTCTGGTTACCTTTTGGGACATGGGTTGCCATGAAGACCGCTAGCAGAAGACGGAGCACCTGCTTGGGCTAGAGCAGTCCAGCCTAACTCAGCCTTCCTTCCCCCACCGGCTACTAGCAGATACATGGAAGAGTCTAACAGCCAGGTGCACACCCCAGTACTCCTGCCACACGCTCTCGAACTCTAGAAATCTGACGGCTCTGAATGTGCTAAACCAAAAATTCTACCTTTGTGTTTAGTGAGCACGTTCATGGAGAAAGTAAACCTCTCCTGTCCCTCAGCACATTTAAGCTTATCTGCATTCTTGCTATTCTTGCACAAAATTCCATGCTAACGAGTTCCACAACTTACAGACTATCTTGAAAGTATCTTTTTTTAATCTGAAATTGGCCACCTATGACCTCACTAAATGTGACCTTTCTTGCATAGTAGCTTCCCATTCACCCTGCCGTCTCTGACCATGTAAGGCCTTTACTATATCCTTCCCCTCTGCCATCTACTTCCCAACAAGAACATTAACCCATCTCCCCTTGTACAGGACCTGCTTCAGACCTCCGCTTCAGACTTTCTGCCCACTTTCTGCTATTCACTGCACTTTTCCTAGTCTTGGCTATATCCTTTTTGGGTTAGGGGGACAAGGAAAACAAGCATTAGAGCTACGGATTATGGATTTAGCATAGCGCGGAATGAGAACTTCTGTTTCATTCTTTATTCTTGACAGTTTCTACCATTGTGCCATCCTTTGCTGCAGAGCTGAACTGGCTTTTTCCCAGTCTGCAGTTGCTAACCGTGGAACCTTTACTCGGGTGAGGAGAGCTCTCCCTCCCCACACAACGTGCATGACCTCCATCGCCAATTAGTACAATGGAATCAGGCATTTTACCAGATTCTGCCTGTTCCAATAAATCAGTACCCTGAGATTCCTCTACACCTCTTCGCATTCTGTTTTGTTACTGCACATTGAATAACTTTGCGTTAGTAAATTCTGTCTTTCCCTTTACAAATCACCAAGATCATATAAATCATTTGACCTGAAGTAGTGATACAATAAAAATTCCCCCATCACAAGAGTATAGAGCTTTGTTATCTTACTTCAGCTTCTTTTTCAAGCAGAATCTGGTCTTTATTTACTTCTTCGTCTTCTATTTTCCTAAAATAAGATGAATATTGTTCAGTAACATGCGTATATTCCAGATTTTGAACTTCCAGAGAATGCTTTGTTGACAAAAATCAAGGCTCTCAGAACATATCTTACACGTCAGAGTTTCAGAATACAAATCTCATTGAAACACATCCTCCACATAGCTGCAATTCATGGTTTTATTTTTAAATTATTTTGAAGACATCAATCTATCCCTTACTCCTTCACAAAGTTACATCCAGGACAAGTATAAACCATTCCAGCTATGACTTTACAACAAGACAGATCTTTGTAGGTATCAATACAAGCCATTTCTGAACAGTACTCGAGCATAGCAATTTACCTGAGCATAACATTATCTCAACTGATTGCAGTCTGAGTACCAGACAGATAGAGCCAGTTCAGAAATGCTGCAAACACATACTCGATTCTTCTCTTTTGTTGGCGCAATAAATCAATACAACTAAATCAAAATGTAAGTTCAAGGTAATGCTGGGCAAGATGTTAACAAAAATCTGGAAGCAAGCTGTAAAATAACAAATGCTCTTAGAAATGTCTCTCGAGTCCTGGCTCTCTGCAGGCAGACCCTTCCTTTGATGCAATTCTAGCCCATCTCTAACTTCTTCAACCACGCTTGCTACCAAACATCTAAACGGCTCATAACCAAAACCGTAAGAGTAACCCAGCTGCTGTACCTGTCTGGAAACCTTCCAACTGGAAGAACTCTTTATCCTCTGCTCCACTTAAGACTTTGAAGTTTGATTATTTTTCTAGTATAGTCAACTTTTTTTTCCCCACAAGTCCAAAAGATGTGTAACATTAATGTACAGTACAAATACTACTCCTGCAAAATTAAGCAAAAACTTTCAATCAGTATCTCAGCAAACGCTTGCTTAATTGGGGTGTGCCTATTTTACATTGAGAAACCAAACATAAGAATATTTTTTATGTACTGTATTTTTAAGGTTGCCTATCCCTTTGCTAACAGATTTCTCCTATCCCGTGTTGCAATGGGGAAGATCTGCCAACAGATCTAATCACACAAGTGCCACCAAAAGTGCAAAGTGAACAAACTGATGCTTGTTGGAAGGTTAACAAAGAAATAGACTGTCAGTAAATCCTCCATGTCCAAAAGCCTCTGGGAACCTTAGTGAATACAGTCAGCCAGCGCCAGCTGCCAAGCACCGCCAGTGGGGTAGGTGCAAGTCTGAAATAAATTCACACGCAAACTACCCTTGCTTCCACTAAACTTAACTACGTTTCAGCAGCACTTCAGACAGGTGAAAACAAAGATATATAGGCCGCTTAACTAGACAAGATACAAAACCACGTTTTTGTTTCACAAGGAAAGATACCCCAACTGAACAGCAGCTTACTGTCACAGGTCCTTGGCAGCAGCAACCTTAAATCCTCTAAGAATTGGTAAACATTAATTCCGGATGACCTTAGGTTACATTACTTCTAAGACCTTTGTACATACCTGTTGGATAACAGGCACCAGAACTTGGCAAAAATATTTTTTTTTCAGCTTGAACTTCAGAAGACAGGATTGAAAAGTCAGGGGAGAAGAGCATGTCATCACGCCTGAAGGGCAAACCGGACCTGGAGGCCAGTGCTACAGGCAGAGACAAACTCCTCTTCCTGAAAACTAACAGGCGTGGGACAAAACCTGTGTGAACAGCATGATGGAAAAAGCTCTGCAAAATGTATCAAACCCACCGAAACATGTAATTATGAAACCCTCTAGTGGTTGACTTGAGAGAAGCAGCTGAAAAATCTAAACCAGGAAATACCCAGTTTTCAACAAGAACTCACAAACTCAGCTTTACAAATGCTGCTATTTTGGTTAAAAATGGGGTGTTCCGCCTGTCTCTCTTACCAGGGAAGCTGTGCCCTACCCACCTCAGCTCAAAACAGTGTTGAAAGACTGTGACTGCTATGCAAAGAAACTTATTTATTTATACCATTTGTAATAAAGCACTGTGGAAGGACTTGGGTTTCTCTTTCTAAAGACAGTCCAAATATTCCAGTAGTTAATTCTGAAAAATACTCCAACCTTTAACATATCAGCACTGACCTGACTTGCAGATTTTTGAAGACAGTATCTATTGCAGACACCTGCCCTACTTACTTACCTCAACCGTTCCAATCCACTCCGTTCAAGCCTTAAAACAAAACAGAGACCTAACTATACCCTTTTAACACCACAACTGTCTCTTTGGATTTACATAATACTTTTCCTTACACTCAGTGTAAGCTGGTTGACTGAACTTGGCGTTGACTGGAGCTACAGAGCTGTCTGTGATCTACCAAATCCTAGCAATGAAGTGGTAGGAGAGACAGAAAGACCAAAAAATGCATTCAGAAGAGGAAGTAACAGCATGTAACCGTAAGATAACAACCTGCCGCCTCGTTTGAGCCGCTCAGAGCGGAAGTTCTCATAGTGAAGATCCTGGGTCACCTCCTGGAGATCTTGCATATGGGTGCTGGAGGAAGAAAAATAATGAAAACATACGCATGTCACATCAGCTTGCCTAACCAACCCTCACATTCAGCACTGCATTGGGTCAATGTGTGCAGCACCTACACCCATTTAACATGCCAATTTGAAAGCTAATTTAAGTTAAATTGGTGTGACAAAGACACATAGAGAGACCACCTCAGACCCTGAAGCAGCCCTGACAGACACTGTCCTCCTGGGTGAGGTGTTTGATGAAGCAGTGCTGGGCAGGGGAAGCAGAGTAGCAAAGCCTGGAAAAAATCCACCAGTGGACTTTTGAAGTCTACTCCTTTGCAGATGTCCATCTACATAGAGATGTATTTAAATAAGCAAAAGGTATGAAGCAACCTGTTTGATGTTTCTGGGAACCTGAACAGCACTGTGTTCAACAAGAGAATGAGACAAAACATTATTTTCACAGAATAACTGAGTAATTCAGATTGGAAAGAACCTATGGATCCTACGTGGTCCAATCCCTGCCTAGGCCTAGGCCAGCTAAGTCAAGGCTGCTCATGGCCTTCTCCAGACAAATGCCGAATGTCTCCAAGGATTCTACAACTGCCCCAAACCCCTGTTACAGCGCTTGAGAATCTTCCTGGTGATTGTTTATTAAACTACCATTTAATTGGAGTTTTCAAACTTACATTAGCATGGTCCTCAGCTTCAGGAAGTCATTGTGTTCCGGATTCTCCACTTCAACTACACCCCATGGGTAGAGTCGGCCTCTAACTTTTTTACCTTTGGCTTCAATGAGTTGATTGGATCCCACTACACAAAATGGAATGCTGGCCTGAAAGCCAAAAATGCAAAAATCACTAATAATGAACCAGAACAAGTAACTCCAAGAACAACTCTTGTTGCATATTATGGGAATAACTTTGCAATGCTTTTAATCTGAAGCTGTAAAAAAAAAAAAAAAAAGTCAGTGACCATCATCTTTCACATGGACACGGTGACTCACTCAAGGTCTCATCACACTATGTATCTTGTTCTAAAGCCACCCAAGCAGTCCAAAAACATGCAGTGTATTAGCCACGTATGTGACCTATGAGGCCAGACATACCTTCAGGAGTCTGGTCTGCTCCTTAAAATCTTCATCCTCGTCTGATTCAGCATCTGGCAGGTGATAAATCTTGATGCCATGCTCTTCTATTTCATCCAGAATCTGAGATTTATAATATAAGAAATTGAGATAATACACATATAAAGTCAGCACTTTTAAAACTTAAGGTAAAAATAACTTAATCAGTTATACACAATCTCTTAAGAAATTTGAGCCTATCTTACTGATCCGAATGACTTGGCCAGTATTTGGTTTTAAACACCGTATTTCTTCATGATATTCAACAACTAATTGCCACAGGCTTTCAGACAAACAATAGTGTTCAAATAAGCACTGTCCTCTGTGGATTGCACATAAGAAATTGAGCTTTTTTAAAACTTCGCGATTTTTTTTAATTATAAAGCATTGACTCAGAAGTCACAATTGCTTTGAACAACCTAAAACTCCTTGCTCTTGCCTCCGAATTACTATTTGGGGGGTAGGTGGGGTAGTGTTTAAAAACCTAACTGAGCTATAGACACAACAAATATTTTTTCTGTCTTCATGACTGCTATGAATGGCATCTGCAGCTGGAATCCATTTGCCATAAACCCTAACTTCACTCTTAAAAAAAACAAATATAGTATTTCTGCAAAATTCTAGCACAATATGCATATCAAAATAAACTATACTTCTCTATTTTTATTACAGGTTGGGTAAGATAACTATAAGGATTTTCAGAACAACTGAAAAAAATCATAAAGTTTTAAATATAACAGCTAAGACTGGATCAAGCGCGTCTTCTGGCAACTTAATTCTAACACTTCCCTCTAAATTCCATAGCTGTTATTAACTCAGGATGGTTTGTTGCACTTTTGCCCCACTCTGCAAGTACAGCATCAAGTCCTGCAAGACCGAACGTGTTATGGGGTCTTGCCTATGGAAGAACGAACTGGAACGTATTAGAAGAGGGTGACGTAGGGGAAGAAAAACAACCCCCAAAATCAGAAAAATCTCTGAAAATCCTATTTTTCAATCATCAGAATTCTGACTGGATAAAATATATATATATATATATATGCACATTATAGATGCAGATACTGTCTCTGCTTTGGGACAGATTAAACAGGTAAAGAAGCAATTACCATTAGCAAATGCATTTAAATATTTTTCCAAAGTTTCAAAATTCCCTTATAACATAATTGTAAATTTAGCCAATCTGCCATTTTGCAGGCAGCATTTTAAGGACAATTTCTCAGTTAAATACACAATAAAAGATTTACAAGATATCAAACTACATATTAAATAACGTTACCCTGTGCATGAGATTCTGTTTTCCTTGGCTAGGACAGAGTAAGGTTGAACAAGGACGCCCCTCTCTCCAGCAACCATGCTGCTACAACCAAAGCATTTTTCTGCAAGCTAGAAAAACCCTTACCCTTTTCTTTAGTCTTTCTCGCTCTTTCAGAGAAAGCGTATCAGCTTTTGCAATCACAGGTACGATATTAACTTTGTTGTGTATGGCCTTCATAAACTCAACATCCAGAGGCTTAAGGCTAAAAGTAAAATATGGGAAAAGTTAAATTTATTTTTAATCTAAATTACCAATTACTTGTCACACCACTGTAGATCTCTCTCCTTACACAGAAAGAACATGCCAAATAAATTCCAGCAGTGCTAGTACTTCCTTAAATAATGGTGATCTGATTCTGAAAATTTAAGTCCACAGGCACAAACCAACTCCCCAAAGTAAAATAATTGAAAACATAAAATGACAGAGAAACACCTACCCGTGACCAAATGGTGAAATGAAATAGAAGCAGCAATGAACCCGGTTATCTATGATATGCCTTCTGTTCAAACCACTCTCATCATGCAGATAGCGCTCAAACTGCTCATCAATGTAAGAGATTATGGTCTTAAAACTGTAAAACAAATATGGATTCAAGAAATCATGCTTGTTCCCAAATAGTCAATAATTTTAGTGGCATTTCAAAGGTAGTATCAAAACACGGCCCTCCTCTGGAGCCACTCTAACGGGTCCCTGTCTGTCTTGTGCTGGGGCCCCAGAGCTGGATGCAGGTCCCACAGGAGCAGTGCAGAGGCAGGGGATCACCTCCCTTGACTACTGCCCCACTTCTTTTGGTGCGGCCCAGAATATGAATGGCTTTGGGGGATGCAAGCGCACATTTCCGGCTCACAGATAATTTTTTGTCCACCAGTATCCCCAAATTCTTCTCTGCAGGTCTTCTTTCAACCCACTCATCTCGCAGTCTCTATTGAGTATTTCCCCAACCCATGTGCAGGACCTTGCACTTGGCCTTGTTGAACTTCATGAGGTTTGCATGGGCCCACTCCTAAAGCCTATCGCAGACCCCTGGACGGCATTCCTTCCCTCTAGTTAATCAACTGCACCACTCCACTTGGTGTTATCTGCAAACTTGATGAGGGTGGACTCAGTTCCACTATGTCATTAATGAAGATATTAAATATTATTGGTCCCAGTATGGGACCCTTGAGGGACACCCCTTGTTACTGGTTTCCACTTTGACGACTGTATCTCTTTAGACCCAGCCATCCAGCCAATTACTACCCATCTAACAGTCCGTCCATCAAACCCTATCTCTCCAGTGTAGGGACAAGAATGTTATGGGGGACCATATGAAAGTCCTTACAGAAGTCCAGGTAGCTGCTATCAGTAGCTCTTCCTTTATCCACACTCCATCGTAGAAGGCTACCAGATCAGGCAGGCACAATTTGCCCTCGGTAAAGCCATATTGGCTGTGTCTAATCACCTCCCTGTCTTCCATATGTTTCAACGTATCTTCCAGAAGGATCTTATTGGACACAGAGGTGAGGCTGACTGGTCGGTAGTTCCCAAGGTCCTCCTTTTTACCCTTAAAAAGGTTTTTTTCAAAAAAAATGGGCGTGATGTTTTCCTTTTCCCAGTCACTGGGAACTTTGCCTGATTGCCAAGACTTTTGAGATATGATGGAGAGTGGCTTGGGAACTACACCTGTCATAGATAACCCAACAAGATGGGATGCAACTTGTTGCGTCCCATGGACTTAAGTACATTCAAGTTCCTCAGGTGGTCTCAAACCTGATCTTCACTTACAATGGGAGGGACTTCATTTCCCCAGTCCCTGCCTTGAGGTTCAGGGTCTTGAGAGATGTGGGAATAGGGATTACCATTGAAAACCGACCACCGTTTATCTCAAGATTATTTCTCAGTACATATTGTAACATAAATTTCTCAAAAATGCCCAATCAATCCAACCCAAAGATGATGAAAATGCACTTAAAAATGAAGCACAGAATCTGAGAATGCTCAAATGAATGTGGACAAGATCTAAAGGTGGATTTTTACTTGCACTAAAGACTAGATGAATTACTTTCTGAGTATTGTTGATTTGCTTGTGTCCCAGTGGTTCCACTGCTTTCTAACTACAAAAAAACTCAAGGTCACTGTTCACTTAAAAGTCTTCCAAACTTAAGAAAGTTAACGAAGAAAAAAAAAAAAAAAATTTGTGTCACTAATTTTAATTCAAGTTGTGTGGAAGTTATTGGTGCCTCTTTACATGTATCTGAATAAACTCGTAACACTTTATTAAGCTTCCACAAAATTAGGAACCATACCCACCTCTCCAAAAATCACACCTCAAATTCAGCACTTCACGTGACGCACAAAAAAAAGGTAAGAGAACGACTTAACAGCATAATAACTTTGAATCGCCTTTGGAAGGGAAGCGTTTAAAAGAGCTAGGGTTGCCACTTGGGCCATCCTACTTTGAACTGCGCATCATTATTAATAAAGCCCTGCTTCAATTATTAATTCCTAGGACAAATATGAAACAGATGTCAGCACTCATACATAGATCGATATATACTCTGTGTATGTACGTACCAATCTCGACAATTGATAGCATCCCCATACCCTGGTGTATCTACAACTGTCAGGCGTAGCTTCACACCCCTCTCTTCAATTTCAACTGTTGAGGCTTCAATCTGCACAGTGCGTTCAATCTTCTCTAAAAGACAATAAACTTGATCTTTTGAGAACAGAATTTATAAGACCATGTCATTTTGAGACAAGCTCAAAAGATTAATTGGCAGATGCAACTGTATAAATGTTATGCCACAAATTACCTTCTAAGGCCTGATAACAGCAAGGCTCAGTACTTAACTTCTTTGGATTTTGTTACAAGATTTTTTGAGATTTCATACTGTTGTTAAATAAAATGTAGAAACTAAGGCAAAAGGGACTGAGAAAAACTGTAGGTAATCAGCAGTTTGGAGGCCAATGCTAAATTATGCACAATGGATTTTTTTCCTAAGGTTGAAAGTGACACGGTAAATTATCAAAAGAAGTCATTCAGCAAGTAGCAAAGAGGAAAAAAAACAGCATCTTCCTCTGTTTTTCTTACAATATCCTTTTGCATTGGATTATTGTGCACCTTGGTTAACAGAATAAAAAAGGGACAAGGGCCTGAGGAAGAAAAGGACGTGAAGTTCACATTCGTTAAATATCAACCCAAAGCAAAGCAATCAAGTTGCAAGTCCAAGCAGGCATAGTTTAGAATGGCTGAGATACTTAACGCCTTCTTTGCCTCAGTCTTTAATGGCCCGATGAGTTATCCCCAGGGTACTCAGCCCCCCCAAGCTGGAAGACAGGGATGGAGAGTGGAATAAACCCCCACATAATCCAGGAGGAAGTAGTTTTCAACCTGCTATGCCACCTGGACATCCACAAGTCTATGGGGCCAAATGGGATCCACCCAAGAGCGCTGAAGGAGCTGGCACAGGAGCTTGCCAAGCCACTCTCTATCATTTACCAGCAGTCCTGGATAACAGGGGAGGTCCCAGATGACTGGAGGCTGGCAAACATGACGCCTATCTTCAAGAAGTAGGATCCGAGGAACTACAGACCTGTCAGCCTAACCTCGGTACCAGGAAGATTATGGACCGCTTCATTGTGAATGTGCTCACTGGGCATATGGAGGACAATCAGGGCCCAGCCAGCATGGGTTCATGAAAGGCAGGTCCTGCCTGACCAACCTGATTTCCTTCTATGACCAGGTGATCTGCCCAGTGGACAAGGGAAAGGCTGTGGATGTTGTCTACCTGGACTTCAGCAAAGCATTTGACAATTTCCCACAGCGTTCTCCTGGAGAAGCTGGAGGCTTATGGCTTGGACAGGCGCACTCTTCACTGGGTAAAAAAATGGCGAGATGGCCGGGCCCAGAGAGTTGTGGCAAACGGAGTTAAATCCAGCTGGCAGCCGGTCACAAGCGGTGTCCCCCAGGGCTCAGTGTTGGCCCCAGTTCTGTTTAACATCTTTATCCATGATCTGGACAAGGGGATTGAGGGCACCCTCAGTCAGTTTGCAGATGACACCAAGCTGGGTGGGAGTGTGGATCTGCTGGAGGGGAGGAGGGCTCTG